ATAATGCACGAAAAGAATAATTTTGCTGAAATATTAAAAAATTTAATCAGATACAGATTTTTGAAAATAATTTTGTCGGACTATCAAAGTAATTATGTAGAACACTTAAATTATTTATTAAAATATTAAAACTTTTTACAGCATTTTTCATTATGTTCTATATAATTATTTTGATCCAACAAAATTTTCAGATTTGTATTTACTTAAATTTTTTAATTCTTCAACAATATTTTCAAATACAAGATCATTTTTTTTTAATGAAAATGTACGCAACGAGGTAAAACAACGATGGGCAATAGGAGATAATTTTAAAGTAAACTTATTATTCAGTCTTAATATATGATACCTGAGAATATATTAATTTTATGTCGATCTCATTTAAATATCTATTATTTTTTACATCTTCTTTATTTCTTTACTATCGTATATTAAGTATACTTTATTCCTCCCTTAGCTTTAATGCAACCTTTATGCAAAAGCTACATTGCCTTAGTGTGAAAAATAAATTATCAATTGGTATACCCCTGATCGATTTATCATCATTTAACGGTACACCCTCAAATGGAGGGTAAATTATGAAAAATTGCGCGTTCTTCGCCAGTCATTGCTCCACGCAAGGAAGATGGCCTCGCCCATCGTTATATCAGGTGCTGCTCGAGTAAATGGCTAGATGGACTAGGTGGGTAAATAGGTTGATGGGAACGTGGCGCGGCGCGGTACAACGTGGCGCGCTGCGAGGGGTGGTTTGCCTCCCGTAGGGGTGGTCCAGCAGCAGATTCCTGGGCTGATCGATGAAACGACCGGCGCATTGGATTTTCTGAGAGTCGCACGCGCATTCACTATCCTTTCCGCGAGGACGTGTGGGAGCGTAGACCACGTCCCTTCAGTTACACGCTATCCCGGTGCCGGGGTGCATACCCGCGTCGCGCAGGGCATCCACAGAGAATGATGGAAGTGTGTTACTAGGCCGAGTGGCACGTGATACTCTCTCTTCTCGGTGCAGCGCTACCCTTCAACAACGTCATGCCCGGCATCGGCGTTTTCCGGCGGCTGCGTCCAACACGCGACGATAATATTGCGCGATAATCGGCACTTTTAGTGGCGTGAAATGAATTTTATTCCTAAGAGAGAGAAGAGCATGTGAATTTTGTATAGGAAGACGAGATTGTTTTTATTTTGACTCTTGATTTTTGCGTGAGTACAACTCCGACGTTCCCCAATCGAGGGGATTGATCCACTCTGGCTAATGGAGTGTTGTTGACTCTACAAAGGGTGTGTGCAAGACGTAGGCGTATAAGCGATTTAAGTTGGAAGGATCTGTTCTGCGGGGTAAGACACGTGGTAGCGATGGCAGCACCAACAATTGTATTCTAATTATTACCACGCTCGCGCTCGATTAATTAAATTACTCTTCATACGTAATATTAAAATATTTTAGTAATATTTGAAGCAATCATGGATAAACGGCGATCCGTAGATGGGGGAACGCAGGAATATCCTTTGCCTATCCCGGTTCAAATGTTCCTTTGGCGTCTTATAAGGTCAGCTGACTAAATTTTTTATTATTTTTCCAAGAAAATAATGACGTGCATATTATATATTCATATTTATTTTAAATTAAGCGTCTAATCTATTTTATTATTTTTCAGGCCATTTATTCGAGCTAAGCTAGGAAAAGTTCACGAAGCATCTTGCATGGTAACAATTGACGCAATATTTTAAATATTTCTTAGACTGTAAGAGAAAGCGATGAAAATTGTTCTATTATTAAAGAGATTTAAATCATAATTATAAATCGTGAAAATTCAATACTGCGACTAACAAAGTCAAAATGATTAGTTAAACAAATGCTATTCGCGATCGTTTCTTCTCGATGTTAATATAATCACCAATATGTTTCCAATATTATCGATTCTAAGACATCGGTTGGGCGGATATTTTTGTGAATATAAAGCCGCTTTTATCCTATCATACGAAAGAACTTCCATTTCTTCCGGTTTCTGCTTTTCTTAATCGTCTCTGCCAAAATAATTGTATGCTTCTTGTTCAAAACCTGCTTCATATGTCTACCAACGTGAATTTCTATTTCGTATTTTCAATATATTTTGGATGACAATGTTTTATAAAAATTATTATACTGAAAAAAGATAAATACTAAACTTTAATAAATTGTTTGTTTAAATAGTGCCAACTAATATTTACTTAACATAAAAATATATTTATTTAGTACGAAAATCATTAATTTAATTTAACTACCATTTTTTTTATTAAATAAACATTTATTTATTGTAAGTAAATATTTAATTGACACTATTCAAATAAATATTTATTGAAATTTTAAATATTTTTCTTAGTGTACGTAGCACATTATAACGCTTATCATTCTTTCAAAAACGTAAAATATAATTCATTGTTTTATATATTTTGCTCTTCATCATGTACATACGTTTACGAAGCTATTTACAGATGATAAATCCATGGAAGATTTCAGGGTTTATAATGTACATTATAAATTGCATTAATTCCTTCTTTTTAAATTAAAGAAGTGCATAATTTCTTGTATATACTTGATGGACATATTCTTTTCCTAACTATCCCGTATCTTTAACTCTGTTGGTCTATTCAAATTTACTACGACTATATTGTTTGAATCAATATGATTAAAAAACTCTAAAAGATAAAGAATAAAAGTTTTGACGAAAACATATCTCATTATTAACAGAATAAATCGTCAACTATTAGAGAAATATGTTTTTAAATAAAACATTAAAAAAATAAATTGCATTTTGAGTCAATTGAATCCGAACAGACCAGCAGAGTTAATTTGTGTTAAATTTTAAGAACAATATATTGGTTCCTACATGTTTTACGGATTTTATGTGGCTCTCACATAAAATAGTTGATTGTTTTTATCTGTCAGTTGTTATGCAATACTTGCTTTACTCGCACTAACAAAATATCCTCTCCACGCGGCCGCCTCCAAACGTTATCTGCAGTTCTGTCAACGCGCGCCAGGTCATCATGTAAGTTGGCGTTTAAAATCTGC